TCTAATGCACGACATACATCCTTGGTTGGATCGATAGACTCGGACCATGAAGGTGATCTAGAGATAAGAATATCATTGGCGATTGGCCTCATTATGTGTCTTGTTTTGAAAGTGGAGAAACCTATTGTGTTATATGATAGGTTTTTCATTTAAAAGTTTGATACCAAGGAGAATTCAGAAGACCTGCTGAAAAAGTCATTTCCAAGAGAGAAGTTCAAGGTTTGCTTGGACTTGATTGATGTTCACAGGAGTTAAGTCCCTTTAGGGATGGATGGCAAGATGGGGGAGGAAGTTCTTAGTTTCAGGTAGAGTTCAAAGGATACTCAAGTCAAGGTGGAGATTGTTAAATGTGACTTGACCATTTGAAGCATTTGGAATTCAATGCAATACTTGGAATCACTAGTAATCATCAAGGATCACGAGTGAGCATCATAGATCACAAGTGAACATCAGGAATCACGAGTGAGCATTTGGATCATAAGTGAGCATCAGGAATCACGAGTGAGCATCAGGGATCACGTGTAAGCATTAAGGATAATAAGTGAGCATCAAAGATCATACGTGAGCATCAAAGATCACGTGTGAGCATCTACGTTCAGTGGAAAACTTGAATGAACGTGGAGCACATGAGAAAGGAATTGAGCATCTAAGAAAGGAACGGATCACCAAAGAAGGGAGTAGAGCACCTATGAAGGGAATGAAGCATCACTTATGCTCCATGATGAAAGGATGCACCATTTTAGAGTGTGCGTGCCACTTGAGAAGAGGATGCTCATCGATGATGTTCATGAACGATACCCAATGAAGATGCTCAAGGAGGATGTTCATCAGTTGAAGATGCTCAAAGAGGATTCTCATCAGTTAAAGATGCTCAAGGAGGATGATCATAAGTTGAAGATCGATGCTCAATGAGGATGCTTATCAGTTGAAGATGCTCAAGGAGGACGCTGATAAGTTGAAGATGCTTATGAATGATGCTTATGCAATGTATCTCAGTGATGAAGGTTCCAGAAGCGGTTGCATGGTGAAATGTGATTGATTGACACCTTTCATGAGCCTATGGATTAATGGGATTAGCTCATTAGGATTTTAGGTATTATTCCTAGTCTATAAATAGGGATGTGTGTTAGTCATTTGTTTGGGTTCGTCGGTGTCTTTTGTATCCTTAGTGGGTAGGTCAAATCTCTGTTGGTTGTACTTGTAATCTTTGTTTGAGAACTCTATGAATAAGAATATTCCCCTCCTGCCCATGGACGTGGGTCACCTTGGCAGAATCACGTAAATATTGTGTCTTTGTGTGATTTTGGTTTCGTGTGTTATCTGCATTACTTCCAAACAATGGTCATCAAAGCTTGGGAAGTGGCACTAGATCTGTTTGATTCTTAACAAGTGTCTTCTGATTTCCCTAACACACCAAATAAGAGAGAACCGATCACAATTAAGAACGGCCCCCCTTCCTCGCGGTAATTATTCCTTGTGGTAATTATCTATCTCGATCTCTCATCTCCCTCTCAAAGGAAGGAGAAGCTTGTTGTCTTATTGCTTGCATCATAGTCTTGGTGCTACTGTATTATAGGGGTTCCCCTTTAGACTCTAACTCATCCAATAATAAGAAATCGACTCATACACTTCATCCACAAAAGGTATACTTGAACCATGTACTTTGTGTTGTTTTGTTGCTAAAAGTTTACTATAACAAGATTTATGGTGAATTATGATGATCAAAAGTATTGTTTGCTATTATGTGAAAAATCAACACTCTTTCTCATGTTTTTCGTTTTTTCTGATCACTTTTTTCTATTGTTGATTTTTTGGTTGTTTTTCACAGCTTTGTTCAGGACTGCTTATCTGACAAACAGTTAAACCAAAGTAATTTGGTATGCTGTCTTTCTATTGATGATGTGTTGTACAATTACAAAGATTTTTGTCAAGTGTCATCTTCTTTGTTTTTTTTTATAAAACGACTGTCATCTTTTTTGTTGATCATGTCAAATAACTCATATTGCTATACTGATTAAAGTTATTTCTTAACTAATATTACTGAATATTTTAGTTTCGCTGGGATAGAATATGCACAAGTTGATAATGCGTTGTACAATTAAAAAGAATGTTGTCAAGTGTCATTTTCTTTGTTTTTTTTTTAAATGGCTGTCATCTTTTTTGTTGATCCTGTCAAATAACTCATATTGTTATACTGATTAAAATAGTGAATATTTTAGTTTCCCTGGGATAGAATAATATCCATTTGCACTTGCAATTTATTTATGCTAAACAAGTCTATTTGACTTTGTGAAATCCTAACAAAAGTGTTCCAAGTCACATGAATAGCCATTTACGTGTTTATGGCGTGTGGTGATACACCTACACACCTACCCAAATTTTAACAGAATATTATGTGATCATCTTTTTATTTCAAATATGTATAATATTATAATAAAAAAACTTGTGGCGTTATGCTTATTCAATGAAAGAATGTACACAAAGTGAAATTAACATTAAACTTACCTAAAAGATGTATTTATTTTTGTTTTTAGTTTATATACTCAATGAATATGAATCATGAAGGAAATGATATTTAACAACCATGTATGTTTTTAGAAAACTATAATCTAATTACATAATTTAGTAGTCTGTTAAAAGAGACAAACTTAATAATGACGATTTTTCCATATATAAAATAGGTTTAGAATTCAAACACATGATCTGTAAATAGAATTAAGTTTTATATTTGTTCTATTAAAAGTATATCAAGTCTCATTTATTTTACATTCTAATAACAAATAAGGTTTTTCATATTTAACAAAAATTTATAGAAAAAAAGGTCAAATGTTGACAAAAACATTTAACCCGCCATAAATTACTTCGATTCAAAAATAAGAAAGTGAATATTAATAAGACTAATCTTTAATCTTTAAAAAAGAATATACACGTATCTAAGAATCAACAAATAAATAAACTATTGCATTTAAAATGCAAGACATATTAGGTCAAATGTTTTGTTTATTTACACCATTTCCATCGGGAAAGATCGGATCATCATTTTAACCCTAACCCCATTAACCGAAAATAAACTAGAATTATCAAGCTCCCACACTTGTTTGTCTTGATCTTCAGACGTATTAAAGTGTTGATTATTTTGAAGAGGTTAAATGTTTGCATTCTGTAGATCACGTCTATAGAAAAAGAAATTGACCAAAGTATGTAGTCTACAAGAATAAAACATTTTGTTTTTCAAAAACCCGGAAGCTGCTAAAATAAATTGAAATTTAAATAAACTGGTATTTTAAACTTAAAAAAAATTCAGCATTGAAATTTAAAAAAGTATAGTTTTAAAACGCTGAAATTAAAATTCATACATCCAGAATAACAATTTAAAAAAAAAACATTCATTCTATATTTTGCATTAGAGTACCCCCATTGGGGGTTTCCTACGAGCCGCTCGTTGAAAAATAAATATTAAAAAAATAAGAATCAAACAATCCTTGGTGAACTAGCTCGGGATCATGCCCTTAGCTTGCCTCAGATTGTATCGGAAATTATGCCCACGTGTCCAACTTGGTTAGAAGAAACCAATTAGTTTTTATATTAAAAACTAATTTTTGTTTATAAGTAAATTTTATCTTTAATAAAAAATAAAATAAAATATATCAAAATACCTAATTTATTTTTCTCTTCAAAATAAAACTAATATTGATATAGTTTTATAAATATAAAATTTTAATATAAAATAGATTGGGTTGGGTTGCTAATGAATGTAAATAATTTGATTGGATTGAGTTGTATAGGTGGAAGAGAAATATATTAATTTTTTATAGAAAATTTGGGTTGGATTTGATTGCTAATGGGGATAGTCTTAATTGTTTTGCAATTTCATCCCATAAACGAGCCATACGTTCTCGATCAACTACACTACCATGTGGTTCAACCTCGTCTTCATCATCATCAACGTGCAAATGGTTATTTAGAAGTGACATATTGGATTTGACCGCATTGAGTAAAGAACTCATTGCACAAACCCTTTTTTCTTATCAAATTATGAAGCACAAAACATATAATGGTGATGTTGCTTTGTATAACAAAGAAAATGGTGTTATACTTTTTAACATATGGAATCGTTCTTTCAAGACACCATAGTTACGCTTAATGGTGTTCTGAAGCTTTTTCACGTGAATGGTTAAATTTTTCTTTATTGGTTAATGCATGTCTACGACAAAAATCTCTACACCAATACCTCACATTATGATATAGTGAAACACCCCTCTTTTGATTTTATATTTTCAAAATCATTTAAATTACTTTTTAAAGTAAAAATCATCATTTGCGGAAATTTTGTCCCAATACTCTAAAAAATTCCCAAAACATATATAATTTTTCAAAGAATTTTAAGAGGAGAGTTAACAATTTAAATATCATACGTAAGATAAGCAAAGACTACAAACAATGGCCTTCAAAATGTCACGAATTCTATAGTCCCCACATGCTACTAGAACCTAGATACATGTTAAAAAGTAATATGTTAGGCATTAGGAATGCCTAGAGAGTAATACTAGGACTTCACCATGTTTGTAGCTAAGGATTAATTCAATCGTTTACGTATGATGAGTTCCTCAAAAATCTTTTCAAAACACATAACTCTTATCTTTAAAATCTTTGAAAATTATTACTCTTAACTATTAAAAACATTTATCAAATATAAACATTTAAATTCCATCATAATAGAAAGAGTATAATGCAACATGCAACTACACCCATGAAATGGACAAGTAAATGAGAATATAAGTAACACATAGAAAGTAATTATGTAAACCCTTCAACTCAATTTCATTATAATAATATCAAAACTTGATATTATGGAACATGCATTACATACTACTCATGTAACATCCCGAAAATCAATGGTAAAATTTTCATTTTTAATATATAAATTCCAACATCCATTTATATTTATCCAAGCATTAAGATATTCCAAATTAAAACAATTATTAGAGTAACTCCCAAAATCATAAGTTGCGGAAAAACATAGGTGTGTGCGCTGCGATCAAGTCAGGTCCTTCTCTTTCGAACCGGAAGTACCTGAAACCATAAACCACAAACTGTAAGCACAAAGTTTAGTGAGTTCCCCAAATACCACATACCATACATATCATACGAGCCATACGTGACATTCATATCCAATCAATCATTAAAAGTGATATGTGCCAACCATAGTCTTGTCATTATGACACGAGCCGCCTCGTGGTCTTCCTTGCCAAGCCGGGGGCCAAAACCTTGGGTCTTACAGACAAGTGCCATGAGCCACCTCCGGATCTTCCATGCAAGCATCACAAAGACAACTAGCACACAACCTACACTACTTAACTAATTAACTGCCAGAGTTCAGACTCTGGTCTTGCATACAGTTTGCCAACAGTCGCCTCTTGGTTTTTCATACAAACTGCCAAGGGTTACCCCTCGGTCTTCCTACAATACCTAAACCAAAAGGGTAGGAATTGGTGCCTTCGACCCATGGAACAGTGAGGAGACTCACCTCGAATGCAGAAGCTCCCTGAAAGAAATCCCTAGTTGCTGCTCTAACGACTCCTCCAGCTATCAATACCAAAATAACACCAAATTAGCAATTGGATTCCAAACTATGATCCATAATCCTTACTTGGGGTAAAATGATCATTTTACCCCTGACCCAACATGAACCAAAACTGAGGCCCAAGCCCAAAACCAAAAAGGCCCAAAACTACAAGATCCATAAAAGCCCACTAATGGCCTAATTTTCCAAATTGGGCCCAACCCCATATGGGCCTTATCCTAAAGCCCAATAATTCCTTAGTCAATAACAAATCTCAATTAGCCCAAAAGGCCCAAAGCAACAAAGTGGCCCGAGGATACGAAGCCCAAAATGAAACAAACCCAAAACCCATCTGATGACGAACGCGGGGCGTACGCTCAGCTACATTGGGCGTACTCGAGGAATTCCATATTGCGACCAAAAGAAGGTACGTTGGGCGTACCATCAGTTACACGGGGGGTAACCGTAATTTCTCCAAAACTCAAAACACGTCTTATTCCGTTAAGTCCTTGCATCAAAACTTCAGAAGACCTTCCAACTACGCTCTTAAAGCATAAAGTCGGCACCTTTATGTATTTACATGACTCAATGGGACCCAACAACCAACTTAATCCATTAAGACCCAATATAATCTAACTAGAACATGCATGGACCATTTCTAAGCATCAAGCAAGCATTTTTATGAACTAGAAACATCAGAAGAGGCAAGATCTATCACTCCAAGCTCCTGGAGTGGCTCAAACTCACAAGGAGAACTTAATACACCATAAAAACCCTTAATCTTGCCCTAAACTCAAACTTGCACAATAAGAAGTCAAGATGAGAACTTTATACCTTGAGTTAGTTGGAAATGAAGCCAAAAGTCTAGATTAAACGTCCTCATTTGAACCACAAGCTAGCATCAAGCACCCTTTTCTTAAAAATGAGCAAATACACACCAAAAAGCACACTTAGATCTCTCAAACACTCAAGATCAGATTAGGGTTTCCGAAATGAGGCTAGAATGTAATGGAGGCTGAGAAAGGAAAGAGCCTTGAGCTCATAAAGATGTTTAAATAGTGCCCAAACCCTAAAAATTAGGGTTTGGCACTCTGACCATTACGTTAGGCATACTCACCCAGGCATGTGCCTTCTGCCATGCATGCATGGGACTGAAACGCAAGCCTTTTCCAGTAAGGGCCGTTTCTGCCAAAATCTTCAAAATGCCATAACTTCATCATCTTAAGTCTGTTTCCAACGAACCTTATATACATGGAAAGGTGGCAAGAAGCCCTACGCTTCTACCAACACACCCAAGCCTTAAACCTCCCGAACAAAACCCAAAATCCATAAAAGACCAAATTATCAAATTACGATTATATCATTGGCCTCCGAAGACACAATCGAACACTTAGATCACTTAAACCATAACACCCACACCCGAGAAGGGCGAAATTATTTCTTTCCCAAGGCCCTAAGCCTCATGACCACTAAAGATTGGGTTGCAGCCCCGAATAAAAAAGCAAATCCAAAACCGAGTGTTACAACTCACCTTGACTCCTTATTGAATGCTCTCTTATGTTTTTTACTCTTCACTTCACCTCAACAACCATCTATAAACAATACCAAGCATTGGTTACTAAATTGACCAAAATAACCTTAGGACTTATTTCAAACCTATTTTCTAATTTATTTTTATATTTTATCTATAAGAGAGTGTTAGAAGAATGGGACACAAAACGGATAAGCCAAACTCAAGATAGCATTTTCCTTTTTAGAACAGTACAAGGCACATGTAACATTTCTCCTTGGCATTACACGATCGTATAATGCCCTTCACAGCCTCATTACATGGCCATGTTTTTCCAAGTCAAAACATAACACTGACGTGTAATGTTGCAGCACTACGCATTCATGCCAAATTTCTTATTAAGGCATCATACTTTGCCATTCTTGATTTCGTTATGCATCAAACTTTACCATGGGATCTTAATGACCTAAAGTTATATTAACATTACTTTGACTCAATCAAATCTTTTCCTTATTATAACTTAATCATTAAGACCTTTACAGGTCATATAAGCTGTAGGATGCTTATATGAACATCATAATAACAACAAAGGTCTTATTATCTCTTAATTATCAAATCGCCAACAATGATTCATCTAAGCTCTTATTTTATCAATAATTCCCTAAAAAATAATTTATATAGCTTAAAATAACTCATAGAGCTTAATTCTTTGGAATTCATAGAATGGAATTGGGGATTACATCCATGAAACTCTTCACAAAGCTATATCTAAGAGAGGTCGCTTCAATTGATTCACTCCATAACTATTAATGAACAATCAATGTTCTAAATCATATGGGATTAGATTTGAATCATTGAAATCATAATTTCAATTAACCGCCGCCTCTTAATTCATGGTTCAAGGAGTTTTTCTCCATTAATGGCGCGTGAATCTCCATATCTCAACCAAATCTTCATTAAAACAAAATTGGAGTTGATTCAATGAAGGATGGGAGTTCTAACATAAAATTCAATCATGAATCAAGAATTTAACAATCAGTTTACTCACCATCATCGGATTTTGGCTCAACACAAACCTTAGGTTCAAATCTGGATGTGATAAGAGTGAGAGATGATACCTTTAAGTGCTAAATTCCAACCCTGACTTCCAGATACTTTGATGACTTCAAAAACAATTCTAGATCTTCTTTTCATCATAAAAATAGCCATATGTGCTCTCCTCCCTACTCTAAATTGTTCTTCCCCGCAAAATGGGGTAGTTGACCCTCTATCTAGCTCCTAACTTTCCTCACCTGTCACTTATGGTCCTTTCATCCTTATTTCTTACAAAAGTGCACCATTAGACCATACTCTTTAGGAGGCATCCGCTCCAAATAAACTACCCACTTCACAGTCCCCCCCCCCCCTCCCACGTGAATGATCGGTGCGGGAGTTAGGCACCCTTAGACGAAAGAAAGAAAGTACTCTAACTAATGGTCTTCTTGAGAGGGTTGGATGGCCATAGAGGCAAAAGGCAAGGATTCCATTCGTCTTTTTTTGTCCTAGTCATGGAGGTTCTGACTTTCTTTCTTCTAAGTTTGACTAGCCATTGATTGATAGAATTTCTAAATCAAGAATTTGAGTTGTGAATTTTGGTGTAATGTTCGATCTAAGATATTCGGAATAAACGGATAGAATTGTTGGCTTTCTCAATAACTTTATCAGCCGGAAAAGCAACTCCTAATTCCTATCTTAGTAGCTTCATCTTCTTCGGAAGATGAGAATGCTTCTGCTGACGAACCGCGATCCACAAACGGACGCATGGGACTATGCCTTCCTAGCCACGTGAAGCCTACCAAACTTGGTTGTCAAAAGGGGCACTACTAGTGTTGTGTTCTTTTCATTGAAGCATACCTTTCGCTAGGAAGGGATCAATTACGAGTACGAAATACTTTTCACATACAAGTCGGATAGCGCGATAAGTCAATTGCACTCCTCCGCTTGGCATTCCAATTCAAATACTAGTGAGATAGACAACCTCATGTCGTGCATTAAAATAGGAATGACCTTGCCTACAGGCTCATTGGGACACTCAAGTACGAAGGAATTCTCCTCTTAATTAAGGAAGGTTTTAAAGACACAGAGGATCAAAGCAAGGGAACGAGGGGACCGAACTATAATGTTAGTGTTACGTGAATTTATTATTAATTTAAATAAATTAAATATAAATATAAGTACTATAATGTTACTTTATCGTGAATTCATTATTAATTTAAATAAATTAAATATAAATAATGAAAAAACGATAGAAAATATGCCATTTGGTTCCAATAAAACTTATCATATATAACAATAAAGAACACTTCGCGAAATTAATGTATTTTACGAGATATTTGTGATACAAGAATGCGTAGAAAGGGTAAATAGCATATTTATATAATATCATAAACTTATTTTATATAACAAACAACACTGTGGTAGCAACATGCGTTCAGTTATGCATGAGGAATAATCAAACCGACCACAAGGGTTATGCTATTCGCGAAAAATAATATTAAGTTACATAATGTATTGTAAATATACTTCACAAACAAGTGGCTAAAGTATTAAAATCATATAAAAAAAAACAACACGTTCTCGAGTAAAAACCAATCATTTTTGTTAGAAACTTGATTGTGAATTAGTTTTTAAACTTGGTGCTTTCTTGAGTGTTTTATTGTAAGAACTACTATGGTCCAAATCCTTTAGTTGAAAATGAATTTACTTGGTGATTTAATGGAACATTATTGTTGAACTTTTCAAACCATTTGCATTTATTCCCTTGTTATATGAATTATCAAAGCAAGCTCAAACCTAATTCAAATAACATCAAAGATTACAAGTAACAAAAATTATGGCTGTAAATGAGCCATTAACTCCTCGATATCAAATCAAAAGTTACAAGAAATTAATTTAAAACAGCAATGAAAAATATCGCTCTATTGTATACTCATGAGACAAAATTTGACAACATCCCGTGATTTCCCAAAAAGAATACCGAAAAATCAAAGGATTGAAGTTTTAAAAATAATTAAATAAACAAAATATCAAAAAATTTAAACTCACATTGCTTCATAGAACAAAATGTAGGCCTCACACCGAAGAACTTCCTCCAAAGAAGTCACACGGATATACGCATCACTGGCATGATACCATATGCAATCACCTCCTTTCACATACGCCACATAATGGCCTCCCCTCATTGACCCTAAATGCTCCACCACTCCCATCAATTTGTATTTATATGTCTCCTTTTCTTTACAACAACTGCAATAAATCAAAGGGACAATTTGGTCATTTTAACACTTGTCATGTAATAGAGTTTTAGGCTATGTTTGGCGTGCCAGAGCTAAGCTTATTTTTTAAACTTTTTTAAATTGTCATGTTTGGTAAGCCAAAAAATAGCTTTTAAGTTAGCTTTTTAAAAAATTGTTTAGACTAACTTTTTTAGAATATTCCAAATATACCCCTAATTAATTATAGAAAACTCATTATAGGAAATGTCCTTTTATATCATTTTGAATCTTAGTTTTTACCAAGGTTGTGTTTGGCACGCCACAACCAGCTGATAAGCTAGCTTATTTTTCGAACTTTTTTAAGTTGTCATGTTTGGCAAGCCAAAAATTAGCTTAGAAGCTAACTGTTTGAAAAGCTACTTAGACTAGCTTTTTATAAGCTTTTTAAAAAACTCCAAATATACCCCTTAATTAATTATATAAACACATTCTTTTACATGTCTTTTTATGTCATTTTATATCTTTCAGCTAGTTTTACCAAACGCCATTTTTTATCAGCTAACCTTTCGGCTATCAACTAACTTTTCAGCTATCAACTAACTTTTCAGCTAATACGCCAAACATAGCCCAAATGTCATTTTTTATCAGCTAGCTTTTCAGTTAGCAGCTAATTTTTCAGCTAATACGCCAAACATAGCCTTAGTATAAGAAAAGAAACATACCTAGGGTCCATGTAGGGTTTAAGATCGATTGTATCTCTAAAGCTGACGTGGCCATTTAATTTACTTAAACGCCCCCGAGCATCTTGGCAGAATCTTTTCAGATGAACAGTCAAAACCGGTGGGGCCCGACTGATCAAAATCCTCTTAGACGCATCTCTCGCCACCTTGGCACTCTTGGAATCCACGTCATCATCTTCGCTGCTATCTGACTCATGCTTCTTACATTCACCATTGGATTTGTTTACACTGCAAGATTCAGCATCCTGATTCCCAAACCCATTGGTAAGCAAGTGATCAACGCCTGAATCACATGAAATTCCGTTTTTACCCCTGGTTTTGTTCTTTAGTCTCATCCTTTGGTGTTTTGAACATTGTTCACACTGCCACGCATGTTCGGTTTTTGTTAAAAGCTCAGGGGTAGTGAAGTAAGCCAAACATTTCTCCACTGAAACTGGAGAATTATTGTCATCAATATCATCAGGATCAGATTCACTGTTGCTTGTAGTCATTAAACCTTTTTTTTCATCTCCATTTGACAAGGGTTTTACATCAAGCTCAGGTTCATCAAACAGACCTCCAATTCCAAACCCATCAACTTCCAAGGGTTCTTTTGTAATTTCATTGCCACCACTTGTTGAAACTTCGTTGTTATTTCCAGAATCTTGAATCACTGATAGGTCTTTGTTATGTGATTCCGTTGTTGAGGTAACTTCAGAGTCTTGGATTTTTATTTGGGTTTCATCTTTCCAAGAAACTAAGCTGCTGTTTCCGGAATCTTGGATTCCTGAAGGGTCCGGATTCTGTGATTCCATAGTTGAGGTAACATCAGATTCTTGGATTTTTACAAGGGGTTCATCTTTCCGAGAAGCCCCGTTGCTATTTCCGGAATCTTGGATTCCTGATTCCGTAGTTGAGGTAACTTTAGATTCTTGAACTTTTAACTGGGGTTCATCTTTCCCAGAAACTCCATTGTTATCTCCGGAATCTTGAATTCCTGAAAGGTCTTCATTACGTGGTTCCATAGTTGAGACGACTTCAGATTCTTGAACTTTTAAGTAGCCTTCATCTTTCCAAGAAGCTTCGTTGTTATCTCCGGAATCTTGAATTCCTGACAAGTCTTCATTACGTGATTCCGTAGTTGAGGTAACTTCAGATTCTTGAACTTTTACATGAGATTCGTCTCTCCAAGAAACTTCATTGCTATTCCCAGAATCATGAATTCCTGACATGTCTTCAATACATGATTCCGAAGTTGGTTCAAGGTAATCCAACCATGATGTGGTTTCCTCTAAAACAATAGACTCAACTTGCCCATTAACACATGGTTCAATAGACTTTGTGGGTCCCAAGTGTTCTTCAATGATTGAAGTTTTCATAAAACTTTGGCCTACTTTGGAATCCTTTTCCTTTTTATTCTTTGACCGAAATTTTCCTGTTCTTTTTGGAGGAAGTTTTGTTTTCTTGGATTTAGAAACCAACTGAACCCTTTTAGATGGAGGAGATCTTTTAGTAGGTAAAGGTAATGAGAGATCTAAATATGGCTCATATACTACCGAATTATGCCCACATTCCAAACAACTAACAGTGCTAGAAATTTGTCCTCCAAAAATGGTATCCACAAAAGTAGGAACATGTTCTTGAGTAGCATTACCATTTTGAGAACGTTTTCTTATACCAGATTCCTCATTACACATTCCATCAAGCAAGCATCGAAGCAATTCATGACTATCATGTTGTTGAAATCCCCTAAATTGTGGAGCCTTGACACAAACACACCCAAAAAAGGCTCGTGGATTAATGACATTCTTGCCCCCTGTTGATTGACTAGTTTCAACAAAAAGTTTCTTTAAAGACACCATAAGAGGCCCTAAAGTTCCCTCAAGTCTCAAGAGATAATCCCGCAATTTATCCATTGCTAAAAGATTTTGCAAAACCGAATTGAAGAAACAAGTGTTCCCTAAATTCACTAAACCCCTTACTATGTATCCACCATTTTCAAGGGTAGTTACGGAATTTACCTCGGCTGTATCACTATCATCAACATCTTTACGCGTTTCTAACGATTGAGTCTTTAATGCTTTAACAAATTCGGATAATGTGTCTTTTTGTTCTCCATTTTGAACTGGAATAAGTGTATTACAAATGAAACACCATCTTAAATTAGGGTTTGCAAATTTTATAACTAATGGATGGCGATTTTGTTTTGAATGGCGTGCTGCATGGGTTTGAGGGGTTGTTGGGAACCCAACACCACCACATGAAAAATGACCACATTCCAAGCATACCCATATGGAATTGGAATTGGAATCGGATTTTGAACCATTTCCTTTATTCTTTTTTCCCTTTTTTGTCCTTCTATCGTTCACACTTTCTCTACAATCATCACATTTGTGAGACTCAAGTGATGCTATTTTTAAGGAAAAGTTTTCAAAATTGATGCCCTTTTCAAGATGAGGACATGTTTTAGTCTCTTTAATAACAGAAACTCCATTGATGACTGTATCAATGGATGGAATGATGTCTTGTGAAACTGTTTTGGGAGAAAAAGATGGAATCTGTTTGTCCTTTTGAGCACTGCGGGCTGCCTTCTTGTTGACCTTTTTCCCCATTAAAATCTGAAAATGTTTTAGTTGAATAAAAAGGTCAACAATTCTGAATAGCTAAAGATAGCATCGAAAGTACATTGTTAGAGATTAATGGTATTTTCCAACCAATATGATAGAAAGAAGTTTAGAATCATAATGTAATCTGTAAATTCAAAGATTGGCATAGACTGGATGATAGTTTTTTTTCCCAAAATCTCTGTGTTATGTTATTTTCATACTATTCATATGTGGATGTCCATTTTCTTATAAGTACAAAATCCAAAATGATATAAGCAATGTTGATTATATGCAATTCCGGAATCCATAAAGATAAGTATTATATAATGAAATAAGATAGGCACTTTACATAAAAAGCCTACTTTTCTCCTGAAGTATTAAGATCTGTTCTTAGAATATCTTCAATGTCATCTAATAGGAACAAGTTCATGTTGTAGTTACAGGATATCTTACACAAAACTTATATTAAAATTGAATTAGTACATCATCCATAATCGAAATTCGCAACTCCAGTTTGATTATAAACAGTCTCAAAAGCACGATAGATTAGTGGTTTAGGGTTTCAAATCAATTAATCTGTTCAGATGTAAGTTTCTGATTTGAAACATCCATTAAGAAAACCGATGAAATCGAAACGAACGATAAATACTCCAAAAAAATTCAAATCATGAACTTCATAGTAACCAAAAACATGTTATACCAATTGGAAATTAGATGTCCAAAAAGAATAAACAAAAGAAAATGAACTTACTTGGAAGCCGCTAGAGAAGGAGGCTGAATTTAACGGATCGGCGGCGGGCAACGCCGGGGAGCAGACGCCAGAGCTGTGACTACGGTCTTCAGTCTTCAGTAAAGGGATGTTGTTCAACAGTTCAAGGGCTTGTGGGGCGAGGGTTTGCCAGTCGTCTCTTTAGTTTTCCCAATTCTGCATTTCTACCTAAGTTTAAAAATTAGTAATCCAATTCAATTTTTTATTTAAATAAATATTATTTATGATTATTTTTATTTTATTTATAACTAGAAACTAGAAATTGTTCCATCACCGCTTCGCAAGAACGCCATCACCAGAAGTCTATTTACGTTTTGGGAGGGACATAATCTGTAAATTTGCTATTAGGTTGGGACTATTTTTAAATTTTTTTAAACATATGGAATAAAAAAATATAATGTGAACCATTTCTATAAAAAAATATACATAGACCTTTTTGTAAATTACGGAGAGAGACTTCCAATTAAAGTGAATATTTTCTTTTGGCGTTTTATGTTAGATAGACTTCCTCTAAGGACAAATCTGGTTGATAGATGAGTGGATTTGGAGTCGATTCTTTGCCTTTGTTGTCAAGCTAGGACAGAGACTATTAATCATTTGTTTTTTCTTTGTCCTATGGCTACTCAAGTGTGGAATCGTATTTCTTTGTGGCTAGACTTGCAGGTTCGTTGTTCCTCTATGCCTTCGGAGATGATTAGTTGGATTGATGCTCGTCCGGTTTTTAGAATGGAAAGAGTTATTGTGGAAACGGTGTTTATGACTACCATTTGGGTGCTTTGGACGTATAAGAATGCACTTGTCTTTCGGTCTTCAAAGTACCGGAAACAGTTTATCTTTGATAATATTGTTGATTTTTCTTTTCGTTGGTTTACTTTTTGAAACTCTAACTCTAGGATCAATTGGATTGCTAGGTTAATCAATCCAATTATGCCTTGTTCTTGTATTTGCTAGCTCCTAGCTAGTTTTGGTTTCTTTAATTTATTTCGTTGTTGTTCTAAAAAAAATCTTTCAAAAAGTTTCAGATTTGCCCATGTGGTTTCTAACTATTGTATTGTTGGTATTTTTGGCTAACTATATTAAATTACATCATTAAAACACATAAATGGCCATTTTACCATTCTTTTTTTTCTATTTTTCTATTTTATTATTTCTAAAGGATTATTTAACAACCCCTTAAATATAATATAACATTATCCCTCTACATCCCTTCTCTTTCTATGTGTGCCTCTCTTTCCGATCACATTTCCCTTCGGTGGATGACTCATATGGATGGCTTCTTATTGGAAAACCTCTGGCGCAGATGGCTCCTGGTGGCTGAGCTAGAATCCATACATATGGTTTACCCACAAGTATTATATACTCTCCGTATGATCCATGGAGGATTTACCCACGGGTATAATGCACACTCTGTAAGGATCTTGGATTGTGTATTCTGCAACACCATCCCAAGGCCCTTATGCCCTCGTCTCCGACAACTAGCTTGTATATATGTTTTGATTCTCACTACAAGTTCTAATTCAGGTTTGTTTATGTTGATGATAAATTTACGGTATTACATTATTTTTATGCTAAGTGTTTATTTTCAATCAAAAATCTCACTCTTTCTTGTATATATGGTCCTCAATCCTTTTGTCTAACACATATCAATCAAGAACCAAGATGTATGTGTGATTCCGGACAAAATCTGTAACGCCCCGACTCTCGGGTATTAGTTTTACATCTTTATTTTTCATATTGAAAGGTCTACTCGACGAGTTGGATGCCCTGACTCGTCGAGTAGGAACGTTTTGGCCATGTGTTTAAGTGACCAACTCGACGAGTCGAAGGACACGACTCGACGAGTTGGAGCTGAAGGATGAAACCCTAATTTTCGGGGTTCTACACCCTATTTAAAGGATCCTTTGCCCCCTTAGCATCCCCTTACATCCCCTTGTGAGTCTAGAAACCCTAATTCGTGTGTGCACTCCATTCTTGTGTGATTTTCAAGCTTGGAAGGTGATTTGCAAGAATAAGACTTGAAGTATAAGAGGAGTGGTGCAAGAGGAGCTAGTGGATCTGACCCTTCTGCTTATTGGCATCAGTTTGAAGGTAACAAGTCGTTACCTTGACCTTCCCTCTTTCTAGATCTCTTTATATTTAAGATTAGGGCTTTCCTAGCATATATATTAGCCATTTTTGAGTATGGGCTAGGGTCTGAAGTTGCAACTTCAGATCTGAGCTTATCTTGGTCTTTATAGCTATAAAGTCTCCAGCTTTAGCAAGTATAAACCTCCCCTTTTGAGTTAAACCCCATTATAAGCTTGGATTTGATATTCTAAGCCTTTAGAGCCTTGCATGCATGTAAATTTTTCAACTTTATGTGATAAACATGCCTTGGGGAGCTTGATCTGCAATATGGAGCTTTGGGTGGCTTAAAAGCATCTGAATGAAGAAAGGACCGAAGGGACTCGACGAGTTGCAGGGCCAACTCGGCGAGTCCGATGAAGATTGTCGTGCAAGGATTTATGCATGGACTCGGCGAGTCAGTAGGCTGAATCGGCGAGTCAGCTAGGGTTTTCCCGACATTTGGACATGCATGAACTCGGCGAGTTGCAGAAAAACTCGACGAGTCAACTGGGGATTTCATGACTTCTCGAGTTCTGGAAGGACTCGACGAGCCAGTGAACTGCACTCGACGAGTCGGGTCAGCATGGACTGTTGACCTTGGCCGTTGACCTTGACTTTGACCAAGGATTAACTAGTTGACTTATGGGGTATTTTGGTAAATTGGAAATTTATGGAAATGATCTTATGGTAAATATAGGTGGTGGAGTTTGTGTCCGTGGTTCGAGAGTTTGAGCTTATCACTTCGATTCGTCAGTTGAGAGGTGAGTTATCATCACTATACTAAGGGGTTGAAGGCACCAATGTCGGCCCATTGGATATGTTATCCTAGCAGTTGGTAGTATGTTGAGTATGAGTCAGTTTTGCATGCTAGTTATTATGCCAGTTTGGTAGATCTGTAGGGCTACCTGTGTTATTATCTGATTATCTGTATGTGCATTAGTTATGTTATATGTCGACATATTATGTGGTTTGGGTTGAGGTTGTACTGCTCTGTGCGGTAGCCAACAAACCCTAAGGTATTCCAGATATGAGCTGAGGGTCGGGCAGGGCATGCCAGACTCATACTGAGGACTCGGTAGCATTCCAGATGCGAGCTGAGGGCCGGGTAGGGCATGTCAGACTCATACTGTGGGCTCGGAGGCAATCCAGATGTGAGCTGTGGACCCAGAAAGCAAGCCAGACTCACACTGTGGGCCCATGGGTAATCCAGTCGGTAAAGCTATGGACCCAGTACATGTTGTTATTTGCAGTGTATCAGTATTTTGGGGGAACTCACTAAGCTTTGGGCTTACAGTTTCAGTATTGTTTCAGGTACATCAGATGATCGCGAGAAGGCAAAGACGTGATCGTACAGCTCCTCACATTTATAACTGTGTTTCTGGGATACTCTGATATTTACTATTTTGAAAACAAGTTTTGTAATGATTAATGGTCTTGAAATGTTTTTAAAAAGTTTAAATTTGGCATGATTTTTATGGGTGTTACAAAATCAGTCCATTATCAAATTGCTTCATTTCCACTTAAGAGGTAGCAGCACCAAAGAAGAAGTTCAAGGTGGGTGGCTGGCAATAATAAAAGAAAAAGATAATAAATTAGTAAAATAAATAAAGAGGGATAAAGTGGTCTTTTCACAAATGTTTAACCTTATTTTCAAACAAAGTTAGTCAGAAGGGGCAACGATGCAAGATTTTGAAACCATAAGAACACAATTTTACTAAAGTTATCCTCGACATGCAATTTTTTTAAAACCATAAAGACCGATTTTGAAATTATGTCTTAATTCTAAAAGAAAATTGATTATTTATATTTTTGGTCCCTCTAATTTTTTATTTAGGAAATTACACCTTTGGTTCCTTATAGTTTTAAATTCTAAAAGTATATTAGGGAAATTACATTTTTTTAATTCTAACGGTAGGTAAAAATTAAGAGGGACCAAATATCAATTAGATAGTGTTTTCTACTACATCTTACACAACACATACCGAAACAATGTGTTATTTTCAAATATCAATTAGATAGTGTCTGATACGGGAAACACAATCGGCATAACTATTTAAAACACTTTTTGATAATATTTGATATCAACATAGCATGGACAAACTAAATGGCCATCACATAACTCAAGATTTACTAAACATCTAATCATTTCTAGTAGCTTTCAAATTTCTTTTTTCTCTTACTGGCAAGGCAATATTAACACATATGTTAAGACTCACATCCTAATCAATGGAAGTCAACATTTTTTGAAGGATCGTTTGGATAGCATAGAACAAATACACCATGTTAATACATTAAAAAGAAATTGCACTCGGAATATCACATCCATCTATTGAAATGAATAAGAAAGATGACCAAGAATTAGACAACGTCAAAATAAAGAGGCACAGAAATTAGGGAAAATACCACAAATAGACAAAAAATGGGGTGAATTTCTAAATTTAGTCATAAAACAAGATTTTTCCAGCTATAGACATACATTCCGCGGAGGACCCTCCGCGGACCTCTGCGGAATGACGTCATCTCCGCGGACCACTCGAAATTCTGATTTTTTACCGTTTAAAATAGTGCCCCGCGTAGGCCCTCTGCGGATATAATAAGACCTCCGCGGAGGGAGTTGTTTGGAGGTCATAAGTACCTCCGCGGAGATGGTGACGAGGACCTTCGCGGAGAGAGTAATGTCTCCGCGGAATGGGTGGTTGGAACGGCCATTTTAGAGGGTTTTTTGATACAAAGTGTTTTTTTCATATTTTTAGCTCCATTTGGTCGATAGATCAGTTCTTTTCATTTGATTTTCAAAAAAAATATGAGTTTTGTTATTTTATGTACTGGGGGTTTTTGACAGATAAGTAATGATATTAACACCTACGTTAGACCAAAGTTTAACAACTTAGGTTTACTGCTTCCGCCAAATTTTGATCGTCGAATATTGTTTGATTTGGTCAAAAGTAAGGCTAATGTGTTCAATAGTAATATATCATTGTCATTTCAACACCCGGTTCATGGGTATGTTATGAATATTTTAGACGAAGCAGATGTTCATCAACTCAGAAATGTAATTTCTGAAACGAAGGAGATTGTACATTTGTATTTAGAGGTGTTTCAGGGATTGGTCGAACAGACAGAAGCGGTTCAGAAAGTTGTACCATACAATGTTGAAAACGTTGTATCTGATAATGTTGAAGAGTGTCCAGAAGAAGAAACTGTGGCAGTGAATACGGTTGAAGAAAAAAATTTATATGAGTTTGGAAGACTGACTGAAAAAACTTTGTCAGACGGTGAAGAGTCAAATGAAGGATGGTCAGAAGATGAGTTAACACACGGGAAAAAAGCTTCAGACATATTTTACGGTATGCCTCCCATACATGATTGTCCTGATCCTATTGTTGAACCCGGACCATTTCACAGTTTAGGTCTAAATGATGATATGTTTGTTCGTCAAACATATGATAACAAACAACAACTAATATTTGCTTTGAGTCTTAAAGCAACCAGAGAAAAGTTTCAGTTTAAGACCAAACATTCTAACAAAAATCGTTATGAGGTATATTGTGAAATTGAGAACTGTTGTTGGCGTTTATATTCAAAACGCCTTGATCCCACTGATGAATTTGAAATCAGGACTTTCAACAACGTGCACACATGTTCGTCATTACAGATACACCCTAATCATAAGCATGCTAATAAAAAAGTGATGGGTACTATATTGCATGAGATTATGGGAAAAACTCGTTCCAAGGTTTGGAGGCCTAATGAAATATCAAGGGATTTGAATGCTTTGCTGGAAATCAATGTAGATTACAAACAAGCTTGGCGTGCAAAACAATATGCTATGGAACTGTTGTTGGGATCCTCTGAAGAATGTTTTTTCCAAACTTCCTATTTATTTTCACAATTTGAAGAAGCATAATCCCGGTACAGTGGCTTATATTCAAAAAGATTCTGAAGATTGTTTCGAGTGTTGTTTTTATGCCGATGGGAGCACGGTAAATACAAAAAACTTGTTGTTATTTAATATATAATTTTTTTAAAACAAACTATAGAGTGTTTATGTGTTCCATTTTAATATATTGCAGATACGAGCGTTCAAACGTTTTTGTCGTAAAGTTATAATTATGGATGGTGCCCATTTGAAGGGTGATTTTAAGGGAACCATATTGCATGCAGTAGTTATGGATGGGAACAACAAGATACTGCCCCTTGCGCACGGAATATGCAAAAAAGAGA